GTGTTTCATCACTGGAACCCTCATTGTTATCGCCAGCTAGGTCACCTTTGGCCTCTGTCGTTGTTCGTGATTTGCCGTTTCCGAAAAATCTACATGGGTCTAAGAAGCATTTCCCTTATCATGGTGCATCGATTACAGCACCGTCCCCAGTGAATCCTCCTTCATATGGTCCACCGCCTGCAAGTTTACATTTGTCAATACCATTCAAGAAGAGGAGTGAATTCAAACCTCCAATTTCTAACTTCAAAGATACTGCTCCTATGTATTCAAGTGCACCTGCAATGGCTCCTGCTTTGGTTCAACCACTGTTGTCCCCTTATGTTTCCAGTAAACCATCACATTCTTTTTTCGTATAAATATTAATCTTTTGTTTGTAATGTTTTTTGTTATTTTTTATCGCAAGCCCACCATAGAAAACTGGGAGGCATTGCAGGTAGTAATGACACAGTTGTTTATTTCTTTTATTCCAGATTGTTGCAAGGAAGACATGGTATTGAAACGAGGCAGTACAAGTTGCCAGTGCGTGTATCCCATAAAGCTAGACCTTCTTCTTTTGAATGTCTCTCAAAATCCTAATTGGAACCTTTTTCTTGGCGAATTAGCTACCCAGCTTGGGTTGCAAAATGATCAGATTGAACTTATAAACTTTTATGTAGTCACCTTATCAACATTAAATATATCGATGGATATTACTCCACGTAAAGGTATCAGTTTCTCTGCCAATGAAGCATCTAAAATAAACTCTTCAGTTTCGATGCATATGGTTCAATTAGACCCTAGATTAGTGGGTGACTACAAAGTTCTCAATATGACATGGTTTGAACCTCCACCTCCTGCTCCAGGTAAGTCCAGGCCTTTATACTTCTAAAATATGCCATTGCTAATCGTGATGCTTTGGTGTTCTTGATATCTAAAACTAGTGGGATAATTATTGTACACATAACATGGCTAGTGTTTATTTGTACTTAGTTTTGAATCCTTTGTAATTTATATAAATGTTTCTGCTACAACTTCTACTCTATATACAGCTTTGCGTTTAATGATATTTATCTCAATTTTTTTTAATTTTCTGATTTCTGCTGAAGCAGCGAGAAGAGAAAGTTACATGTATGCTGAAGGGTATATTGTTTACTCTAGTCATAGCATCTAATAGCTGTTATATTTAAATAATACTGCATTTATTTTGTATTTTCCCAAAAACAGCGTAGTCGTGTTTACACACATTAAAGTATATGCTGTTTTGTTGATTGTGAAACATAAATGTGAATAGTGGTATGTAATGTATGTATCTATCACTGTTTGTGCGTTTACTATATGCACTTTAAGGCCTTTGTGTAATCTAATATAGCACTAGATACTTTTCTATAGTAATCGAACCCAACGAGTAACAAACAAGTTCCTTTTTCTGGGGATTGATGGAAGTGTTAAGAATGAAGAACTATGAATTTATGTATAGTAAGACATTTTTGTATGCTAATGCAGCTCCTACTTTAGTAGCATCACCTGTGAAAGCACCTTTCTATCATTCACCTAAAGGTGCACCATCAAATTCTTCAAGTACGGGAAGGCATTCAAATTTGTTTCTTATTCTTGGAATTGCTATTGCCATACTCTTCACTGCCATCATATCTGCACTTATACTTTATGTATGCAAGTTTCTGCCAAAGGCGAAAACACCTCCCGTAGAAACTGGTAAATACCTCTAACTTTATCTCTTTTTTTAAAGATTTTATTTTGCATTCCTATGATAACCTAGTAATGGTGGGAATCACTATGGATTTTGTTTAGCCACCTTTGTAATCTTGATATCATAATGTCAGTAAGTATAAAGATTAAATGGAGGCAAACTGGTCCGTTTAAAGGAAAAACTACGTGTAGCAAAGAGAATGGAAGCAGATATATATTTTATTTTGCATTCCCATGACAACCTAGTAATAGTAGAAAACACTGGATTTTGTTTGGCCACTTTCTATAATCTGGATATTATTTAGTCAGTAAGTATAGAGTATAATAGATTAAATGGAGGCTAATTGATCCATTTAAAATGGAAAGTACAACATGGCAAAAAGAGAGTGAGAGGGAAAACTTCAAGATGGTACAGAGAAAAACAACACATGCATACACACCAGTGGTCTGGGATGGGCAAGGAAGAGAGAGAGAGAGATTTGAAGGAGAAAACTACAAGATGACACAAAGAAAAAACCACACATATTTGTCTGAGATGGAGCAAACTCATCTATAGATCTATAATTGATTGGCACAAGTGCTTGAGAGGGATTCATAAATTGATCTTGAGACGTTTTTATTGGAGTTGATAAGTTGAACATGGACTTTTATGAGTGCATTGTGAATTGTGATCATGAACTTGATGTAGTATACAATTTTATGTAGCTGACTAGCTGAGTACAGAATAGGGAGATGGAGAGAGGGGGGGGGGGGGAGCCATTTAAAGCAAAACTACAGCCTGACAAAGTAAAATTTAAAGAATACATGCATGCCATGTGGCTGTCTAGGACTGCAGAGCTAGAGTTGTTTAGCACAACTGACCATGAAGGGTTCATAAATTAATCTTGAGTACTTTTTATCGGGGTCGAGTATGTATTTTTGAGTGTATTGTGAATTATGATCATGAAATTTGTTTTAGCATGCAATTTTATCCTGCTGAATCAGGAATAGAAAATTGAAATTGTCGACTCTTGGTTGTTGAAAAATTTCTCTACTGAAGGTTGCCAGTTGTCATGCACAACTCTTACGGAGTTAAGGTTATATGTCTGTTTGGAACAAATTAGTAAAGGTTTTTTGACTGAGGAACTTAATTATGCTTTAGGATTTCATTCTACTGTGATTTTACTTCTTAGATAATAAAAAGTAGAATGTAAAATCATATCTATGTCACTCAAAATGTATTATTTACGAAGAAACAATATTTAGCTTCTCCTATCTGTCTTGATATTAGTAATAATAGTAGTTATTTTACAAATACCGTATTTATGTTTTATTTTATGAATCTTTTCCATTATATTGTGAGGTTTTGTTCCTGTCCTTGCTACTAACTCTTTGTCTCTTTCCTGCAGAAAAGCCAAGGGCAGAAAGTGTGGTTTCAGTTGTGGGTTCTCTTCCCCACCCAACCAGTACACGATTTATTGCTTTTGAAGAACTTAAAGAAGCAACAAACAATTTTGAACCTTCAAGCATACTTGGAGAAGGAGGGTTTGGTAGAGTTTTTAAAGGTGTCTTAAATGATGGTACTGCTGTAGCAATTAAGAGGCTTACTAATGGAGGGCAACAGGGTGACAAAGAGTTTCTGGTTGAAGTTGAAATGCTTAGCCGGTTGCATCATCGCAACCTTGTAAAACTAGTGGGGTACTATAGCAATCGTGACTCATCACAAAACCTACTTTGCTATGAGCTTATCCCAAATGGAAGTTTGGAGGCCTGGCTTCATGGTAATGCAATTTTTCAAATCACGAGTTTAGCTGTAATGTTGAACTCTACATGCATTCTATCTTTGTTGTTGTACTTGGTGTAGTTTTTTTAAAACATGTTTTATGCCTTTATTGAAATCGGCCTTGATTTATCCCAGGTCCATTGGGAGTAAATTGTCCTTTGGATTGGGACACCAGAATGAAGATTGCACTTGATGCTGCTAGAGGACTTTCATATCTACATGAAGACTCACAGCCTTGTGTAATACACAGAGATTTCAAGGCGTCCAACATATTGCTTGAGAACAACTTTCATGCTAAAGTCGCAGATTTTGGTCTTGCTAAGCAGGCACCCGAAGGCAGAACTAATTACTTGTCTACTCGTGTCATGGGCACATTTGGGTTAGTCTCGGTCTATTCTTAAGACTTGTTATTCCATCAAATTTAGATTTAAGATTAAATGGTACTTATGTAGGTATGTAGCTCCCGAGTATGCCATGACTGGACACCTACTTGTTAAAAGTGATGTTTATAGCTATGGGGTTGTCTTGCTGGAATTGCTTACTGGAAAGAAACCTGTGGATATGTCACAGTTATCTGGACAGGAGAACCTTGTTACTTGGGTTAGTTCCTTTCACAACCCTACATCATTCTTGTTAAGTTGAAAACATCTCTTGTTTTATGTGTTTTAGGGCCCCTTTGTTTATGATTCTTAGAGTGATTCTTCAAAAATGCTTTTGCGGTTAACTGAAGAACTGAATTTCAGTTTTTTCTTCCAGATAAACATTTTTAGTAAAGCTTGACCAAACAAACATTTTATTTTATAGTTGTTACGAAAGACTTGTTTTTAAAGACAATCTAAACAAGGTCGTGATGATCGGAAATATTTTCAAGATTGAAGTTTAATTTGTCCTTTCAATTTTTTTACATATGACAGACAGTAAGTTCATTATTCCTTTCAGGCTAGGCCAATCCTTAGAGATAAGGACAGGTTGGAAGAGATAGCTGATCCAAGACTTGGGGGAAAGTATCCGAAGGAAGATTTTGTCCGCGTTTGCACCATCGCTGCGGCTTGTGTTGCTCCTGAAGCAAACCAACGACCGACAATGGGTGAAGTAGTACAGTCACTTAAAATGGTGCAGCGCATCACAGAATACAACGATTCAGTGTTACCCTCATCCAATACACGGGCCAACCTAAGACAGTCCTCGAGCACTTTTGAGTTTGATGGTACATCTTCAATGTTCTCTTCAGGTCCTTACTCTGGTCTAAGCGCTTTTGAAAATGACAACATTTCTAGGACGGTGGTTTTCTCTGAAGATCTCCATGAAGGACGATGAATGCTCAGAATCACAAGCAATTCAGAAATCCACATAGAACTCAGTTTCTAAGCTCATAATCTTGTGCACTTTCTTCAATCCATGGCTAAAGGTTGAAGCATAAACTGTAATTTTCCAACCTGATTGGAGCTTTTTGTTGACAATGAGTAATAGTTAGTTTAGCTAGCAAATTAGTTAGTTAAAGATGGCTTGTGTAAACAGAACCAAATTAGTGAAATGGTTTATTAGTTGATTGTGATGCAATGGAATCAATATTAATACACTAGATCCCATCAGAACTCTACAGCTAAACGTGCTTGAGCGATAGTAGTACTGGGATGATGACCTCTTGGGAAGTCCTCGTGTTGTAACTCTTTAGAGAAGGGGGTGAACCTTAGCGCAATGATAAAGTTCATTGCTTTTGATCCAAATGTCATGAGTTCAAAACGCGGAAACAATCCCTTCACTTGTATGGTAAGGCAGTAAAGCTACGTATAATTATTCTCCCTAGATCCCACTAGGTGGGAGTCATGTGCATTAGGCTGCCCTCTTTGTGTGATGTTAAACAACATGATTATCTAGAGATTTATTTATCGAAGATTACCTCTGTCCTTTGATTGAAGCTAACTGAACTCGGATTAATGCGTTGTGGTTTTTGCCATCGTCCATGGTAAACCACCGTCCTATTTGCCCCGGATGCTACATTGGAAGTTTGGAGAGAAATAGAATGAGATGGAAAGGAAGGGAAGGGGAGTCACTTTCCCATTGTTTGGGTGGAATGTTCTCTTCCATCTTCCATTCCATGCTCTTCTATTCCATTTATATAAATATAGCACAAGAGATTGGTTCCACACACTTGGATCTAAGATTGTGAACTTCCCCTAAGACTTTTCTTGGCTTCCTATTATGGGTGGTTTCTAGGTCAATAAGACTAAGTATCAATTGATCGCTTATAATTTTTTAGTATGTTTGGTGAATTTAAATTTTATGTAATTAAAAAAACTATATATAGACCCCCAAGTCCTTATAAATAAGGATGTAAGCGATTGCCCCAATCCATTTAGCATTTTCTTAGATCTAGTATCTTGTAAAGCAACATTGTAAGCAACTTAAAAACTCTCTTTAGGTTCATACTTAAATATGGGTATTATTTGATCCAATAAAAAACTCATTTTAACTTCTTTTTTTATATCTCTACATTCGTTAACAATTTTAAATGGCTAACAATTTCGTTTGAAAATATGAAAATTTAGATTTTCATGAGAAGAATATGAAAATTGTGAGTACTCATATATGGTAGTAAGGTTGAACATGAATTTATTTATGAGAAGTCTGAAAGCTGAAATAAACAAACTTGGTTAGGTAAACACATTTGATCTACCGAATCAAACTAGCCCATTTAAAATTGCAGAAAAAATTGTAAAAGTGTATAAAAAGAAAGCATTGTTATTGTTCCAAAACTAAATAAGATTAACCATTCTAAAATTATCCAAATGGTATAATATTTTGATTAGAATGCTCAAAAGATATGATTGAAAAAAGCAATCAAACAAAAACACTGATTTAGAGATAATGGGAACTAACACAAACATATAAACTAACATAAATCACTTTTATAGAGAATATACTCAGATTGATTATTAGATTGTGCATCTACTCATTGGATTGTACATGCACACATGAAAAATATTGTTTTCTCTATATAATTATACTTATAGTTAATATTTTCTCAATTATGATATATATTGGACTAATTAATGCAGCTTGCACTACTATGCCCCCACTAAATTGAAACTTCAAATATAGTAGGATAAGTAAAATTGTATTCTTAGCCTTTAAATTTAATATTAAAAAAAATACAATGGTAGTTTGTATTTTAAAATGTTAATTAAAAATGACCTTTAGTATTGCTACTAAAAAGTGAGTGGGAGGACAAAAAAAAAGTGACTACTCTGGAAAAAACTTAAAAACCTTGTTTAAATAGTCAATATTTTCATTGGTATTTTGGGATATTTTTATGAGGTTCGCCCACTTATAATTATTAAACGGATAAGATATGAAAAATTTGTGTATTAGCCCAAATTATCCCCTCTACTAGTGGGCTTTTCAATGAGTAGAGGATTGGCCTTTAACATTATGATCTTTATTGTAACAAAAAAAAGAGAGCAAGAGATATTTATTGTTATGATTAAAACCCTAGCAAACAAGGAAATTAGGTATTCTAAAAGTAAACTAATAATAAAAAATACTATAACTTTTTCATACTATCAAATAGAACAAAATACAACTTAAATAATATTGAAGTTGAAAAGGTTATGGGCCATCTAGAAAAGGAAACATTCAAATGAAATAAAATACTAATATCCCCTATCATATAACATAACATAAAAACTGGACAAACTCGCATTACATGTACATAGAGAAAAGAGATATTTGTTGGCGATTGAGGACTCCTTCCCCTTCCCTGATTCATATTTTCCATAGAAAAATCTTTGATCAACGATAGAATAAGATCTATTTTGAATCATATTAAAGGGGTTCTTTGGTTCGGGTTGAAGAAACAATGTCACTCTATCATTATCGAATTGACGCAATCTTTTTCTGTCCACAAGGATCCTATCCGATCCAACAGAACAACTCAAAAGATAAAGTATTATTATTTTTTCATGCTCGTTCGAAGTTTGAAATATCATTTATACAAATAAGAATCACTCTTGTTACATGATTTCTTCTTCATATAGATAGATATAGGATACTTGGAGCAATTACTTAGAAATAAATTTTGTAATATATATATATTTTGAATTCATTCCCGAGTTGAGTTTTAGATAATAATAAAGAAAAAATAAAGCTTCAGAGTCATAAAATAATATGACATGACTCTGAAATATTTTATTTTTGTTCATTCTCCTTAAAAATCTTTATCTTCGAGATAATGCTCTTCTTGAGCTCTCAAAGGTACCAACTTAGCAATTCATTTATTAAAAAAATTGTGAGTAAATCATCCTTTTTGAAATTGAGGATTTGTTTGCAAACATTCCATTTTGTACATAAATTTTGTTTTTATCAGGTTATGATATAATTAAAATAATATGACAGGTAGCTGGAAAAATGTTAAATCTTTCGTCAAGTTTTTACTTTCAAGATATTGGTTGAAGTTGTGTCCAACTTTTCACACATATGTATCTATCTATATATATATATATAAATGTATCTTTATATATACATATGTATATGTAGATACTAATATCCTTCCTCACATAATAAAATTGTTAAATCTAGTACAAGGGTTTGTAACTCTTTTAAATTTGTTTGTATGGTTGTACTTGGATTTAGATGGTCCAACATTTAACTTGTTGAAACAATGAGGGAACCCTACCATTTTACTTAAAATATCAATAGTTAAATTTATTAATGCTTTTCCATTTTAGATAATTTTATTATATAAAATTAAGTTATTTCTAGAACGCTTCTTCCTCTCTTCCATTTTTTTTAACAAAGTGTGAAAAGATTTCAATGATGAAAAACATACACAAAACTTATAACCTAAAACACATTGCAAACAAAGGACTTTACAACAAAGATGACAACAAATTATGTAAAGTGACAAGTAATATATGTAATGCAAGCCATATAAAATACTAATAAAAGTGTTGTTATACTAATGCTAAAAGAATCTACAATAAATTATCAAGATCTTCAAATCACTGCTTCTTCCAAAATTTAAAACCAACAAAACATATGTTGATGAAATAATTGTACAAAGCAGTAGTAATATTAAATAATTAATAGATAAATGGGTGAAAATGACATAATTATAACAAAAAACTCCAAATTGGACAAGCTTGCATTACATACATAGAGAGAAAATAGAGTGATATATAGAATAACTACATAACTACTTTAATGGAAGTTTACATTTTTTCTCAATAAGACCCAACCCAATGTAGTTTTTTCACTCATTGTATTACTCTAATTCACCAAAGTCTGATAAACAAGCATTCAAATACAAAATCGAAAGTGTAATTATTTTCCCCCAAATTTCAAAACATTGACATTTGATCACAAAATTTCTATATGAATGGTAGGCCGGTACCTTTGAGAACCCAATAAAAGAATTTTCAAAAAAATCGAGGTAGCACAATTTAAGAAAAGTTTTTAAGCATTTATAGAGTAATTGGGAAAGTTTGTAATTGATTGATTAAATTTTTCAATCAAGAACATAAAAAAAAAAAGTAATGTGGACCCAAAAAATAAATAGTAAAATAAAATCTTTATCTCCATGATAATGCTCTTATTGAGCTCTCAAAGGTACCAACTTAGCGATTCATTTATTAAAAAAAATTGTGATAAGTAAGTCACCCTCTTTGAAATTGAGAAAATGTGCCAACATTCAATTTTGTACATAAATTTTGTTTTTACCAGATTATGATATAATTAAAATAATATGGTAGGGTTGAAAAAATGTTACATCTTTCATTAAGTTCTTACTCTAAAAAAATTTAATATATATATATATATATATATATATATATTAATTTCTTTCGTCACATAATAAAATTGTTAAATCTAGAAAGAGGGTTACTCTTTTAATTTTGTTTGTATGTATGGTTGTATTTGAAATCAGACGGTCCAACATTTAACATGTTGGTCTCACTTTTTTTGGTCTTTTTAAGAATCGAAGAAACAATAAGGGAACCCTTCTATTTTTCTTAAAATATCACTATCTACATTTATTAATGCTTTTCCATTTTAGATAATTTTATTATTTAAAAATAAGTTATTTCTATATTCTTACTTCTAGTATCCAACCACACAGAAAAGTTAACACTTCTTCCTCTCTTCCATTTTTTTTAACAAAGTGTGAAAAGATTTCTATGATGAAAAACATACCCAAATTATGTAAAGTGACAAGTAATATGTAATGCAAGTCATATCAAATACTAATAAAAGTGTTGTTACAATAATGCTAAAAGAATTCTACAATAAATTATCAAGATCTTCAAATCACTGCCTCTTCCAAAATTTAAAACCAACAAAACATATGTTGATGAAATAATTGTACAAAGCAGTAGTAATATTAAATAATTAATAGATAAATGGGTGAAAATGACATAATTATAACAAAAAACTCCAAATTAGACAAGCTTGCATTACATACAGAGAGAAAATAGAGCGATATATAGAATAACTACATAACTACTTTGATGGAAATTTACATTTTTTCTCAATAAGACCCAACCCAGTGTAGCTTTTTCACTCATTATTACTCTAATTCACCAAAGTTTGATAAATTAAAATACAAAATGGAAAGTGTAATTATTTCCCCCAAATTTCAAAACATTGACATTTGATCACAAAATTTCTATATGAATGGTAGGCCGGTACCTTTGAGAACCCAATAAAAGAATTTTCAAAAAAATCGAGGTAGCACAATTTAAGAAAAGGAAAATTTAAGAACATCAACAAAATATGTAATGTGGACCGAAAAATAAATAGTAAAATAAAATCTTTATCTCCATAATAATGCTCTTATTGAGCTCTCAAAGGTACCAACTTAGCGATTCATTTATTAATAAAATTTGTGAGTAAGTCAACCTATTTTGAAATTGAGAAATTTTTTGCCAACATTCAATTTTGTACATAAATTTTGTTTTTATCAGGTTATGACATGATTAGAGTATTATGACAAGTAAACACCAGCATTGGGTTGGAAAAATGTTAATTCTTTCATCAAGTATTTTTCTTGAATAATAAAAACGAAAATAAAGATTGTTTTTTTTTATACTTTTCACCATTCTCAAAAAGTCTCAAATTATAAGTGACTTAAATTATAAATTACCGTTACCGATCAACTTATACGTGATTGTGTTGAATGACAACTTGAATTGAATCTTGTCATAAATCTTTTCACTTTAGACACATGATACATCATGTAAACCTGAAAACAAAATCAATCTCAATAAAACAAATATAAGATCAAACGAAATAAAAAAAAAGCATGTTCAAGGTGCATAGATCTGCATAAAATTAAGTTTCTTAGATTCATATTTTACTGAATAGTACAAGAAGAAAAAAATAAATATGAAAGCTTAACCTTTTTCTTCAAGGAAAGTAAATAACATAAGAAATATACAATGTTTGTGACATAGATTAATATAATGTATTAATTTTAAGAAAGACAAAAAATGTGATATGTAATTAAGGATTAGGGTTTAGGAGTAAGATATTACCTTATACCTTGTTTGTGATTTGTGATGAGAGCATATAGCAGCAACAAAATGAAATTGAATACATTAGGGAAGGAAGAAAAGAGAGATACCCCAAATATGAAATTAGGGTTTCATTTGTTTAACCCTAAAGAAATATCAAAGCGATATATAGAAGGAACTAAGGATGTGACTCTGTTGAGTCTGTGGTTGGCATTAGGGTATAAGTTACCACACGTATATATAGTGTTTTTTCTCCCAACCCCTATGTGTTGGATATCTGTATTTCGAAGGATGTTTCAATCTAGACCGGTTCAAAAAATGAATTAAAAATTAGTCCAAAAATAATGAAACCGCAAAAAATTGATTGATTGGATTTGTTGGACCGGATTTTAGAAAACCGATATGTTCAGTTTTTAGTTCCAATTTCAATAAACAGATCTATACATATCGAACCAATACTAATTACATATACATGAAAATGAATAATATTTCAGTTTTTAATATAATTAACTTTACAATTGATAATCTAAAATATTTTTTTCTTCATATTTTATAACTATTAAAAGTATTATTAATAATTAGCTAATATTTTCTAATTATTAAAAGTGTTATTAGTAATTAGTTAATACTTTCTTATTTTTAAATATAGGCTAGTGTGTTACTGATATTGATTTGGTGGTGATTTATTTTTTATATTGTTATCATTTTTATTTTTAGTTAACATGAATATTATTAATTCAATTAATTGTTTACATGTACCATACTTGATACTAGGAGCGTTGAAGTAGACTTATCGCTTTTATATAAATTTAACGCTTTGAAGATATATTAAACTTATTATTTTAAAATATTTCATATTTTCATATTGACTTAAAACTTTGATAATGTTTTAGAATTGTTATTTTTTATTACAAAATCTAACTAAACTGCATAGAAATTGTATATAACTTGTACATCATATTTAAATCAACTAAATCGATAATATGTCCTGTGATGGAATGATTTTTTATTTAAAATTGATACAAATGCCAATGATCAGATCAAGAGGGATATTAGAATTTCCATTCTTGGTTATAATATATACGGTAATTGAATTTAATGGTATTTGCAAAGTACTTTTTTTTAAGGTTGACACGTAGTAATATTTGGTAGTTCAGAATTTGAAACAATATATTTATTTATTTATTAAAAAGTAACATGAAATTATGACCATTGGAAGATTATTTTTGCTATGTGTCAGAATTCAATCTAATAATATTAATGGAGATGATCCTTATTCCTAGTACATATATTTCTATAATTAGGTTTACAATGGGCCATAAATACATTCAATCTTATATAGGAAATAATATTAGTTTTATGGAAATGAATCAACCACATTAATATATCAAATTATATTTTCCACAATCAGCATTTTCTATAGAGGATTTGATTCTCTCTTTAAAATATATTCCTTTAGAATTGGTAATAGACATTTACCAATCCATCCTAATCATTTACACGCCAGCCAATTAATTATCATTATAACTTATAACTATATATATGATGAATAAAAAGTTAAAGGTAACCATCTGGATTGAACAACACCGTAATGCTATATCATAGACTAAATATTATTATAACTCTACGACGCTCTATCATAAATAATGTTCATTTTTACCGCCATTTGATTGACTTCCATTTGATTACTCTCCTTATTATGCTTTTACCGCCCCCTCCACACATGTCCGAATTATCTAAGACACAATTGTACCATGTTTTATACAATAAGAGCTACTCCAACTTCTTTCTTGATTCATTCATTTTTAATCATACATTGTTTAATGTGTTCACTCATAGAAGACAACATTCACATCTATTACTTAGAGTCTATTTTCTTATTGACAATTTAACGTCTAACATTCAGTCTTATATAACATTGTGAGTCTTATAGTTACGTGGTAAACTTTCCCTTAAGCATTGACTGATAAATTTTTTTATCAAAAAGTGACACATGAAATACTCCACCATTTTCATCGAACCCGCTTGAATCTTATGCGTTACATATCTGTCAATTTACCACTCATCTTCTAATTCACCTAAGATACCTAAATCTAGTGATTTGTAGTATGATATGATATCTAATCTTTACATACGAATTAGAGATATGCATTAGAGTTTGTTCACCTCTTGCTAAACTTACATTTTACATACCCTGTCTTGTTTCGACTTATACAAAATTTATATATTTCTAAAGTTTGTCTGTATAATTCTAACTTCTCATTTAATTTATATTTTATATTTTGAGTCTTTCATAAAGATAATTTGCAAAGAGAATGTATTGTTGCACTGATTCTTAAAAATTAATAAATTATAGATAAAATTAAATGAATTATAGAAAAGTGAGAATTTTTTAATATTAATTGGCAAGAAGATTATACACATGAAACTTTCTCTAGAGGAGTGAGAATATGAGCAATCACATTTGAGAACCAGTTGTCAATGTTGAGAGTTGACACTAATGATCCGGTGGATGAAATTTTAAGCCTTATCAAAAAGATAAATTTAAGATAGCTAATGTATAATTAATTAATTAAGATTAAATTATATTATAACATTTGAAGTTTAACTTAATTACACTTATTATTTTTAAATTAAACTCATTTTCCCTTCATGAATACTAAGTATAATATATGTATATAAATTAGGAGTAATTTATGAAGCTACAAAAAGTGGATTGATTTATATAATTTTATTAAAGTACATGTGTTTTAGTATAATGTACTCTTTATTTTACTATTATATATATATATGATTTGACCCATTTTCTATTAACTATTTGGTAGCACACAAGTCATTTGACTATAAATATTAAACTATTTTTATTAGGATTTAATATTTATGTACTGATACAATAATGATTTTTATATTGTCAGACATCTATCATTTATATGTAATACTTATTGACTTTTAAACAAAAATAATATACATTATGAATGATTAATGATATATTGACAATATTAGACTGACAAAGTATATATAAAACTCTGTTATGTTTTTATATTGTTAATACATCTTATACCATTTATATGTGAACCATGAATGACATTTAAACAAAAAATAATGTACATAAAATCATGAATAATATATCAATAGCATAAATTTTATACTAACAATAGATGAATCTACCACAAGAAGGAATGGAGGACAAGTTCTATTTTGTGTATGCATCATTTGTACTTCCAAACTCCAACTTTTTTATGAGTTTTTTTTAAAGATGAAAGATTATAAAACAATTAGGTCTACAAACCAGATGTCTATTACATCAGAAAATAATATCTACTTAAGTTTATAAGAAACTAATTCTTTTTAGAAATAGATTTTGCTCCCTTCTTACTTAGATAGTCAAGGCATAAGTTTTCTTCTCTCCTGATGTGAGTGACAGACACCATTCTTAATATATAAACTTATTGAAATAAATTAAATGTTTAAATAATTATTACTATATGTATATTCATTCTTTTGGATTAAAAGACTTCAATAAACCAAAAAAATTTAAACTATAGTGAGGTTAGTTCCTACAAAAAAAAGGTTTTTTCAGTGACTGAATTTATTTGTCAAGCAGACGAATAAATATTTATCGATCCCTGATTTTTTTTATGAACATATCAACCCTTGATTTAATAAAGTATAAATGAATCTCAACTCATTAAATAATTCAAAGATAAACATTTGACTTGCTCATTCCAAAGATAAAGACATTTTAAGAGAACAAAAATGAACTAGGTTGTGGTGAGTTTTTTATCTGAGCGAGAAGAGTTCGTTCAAGCGTCAGTTCTAGGATTGCAGCATATGCTTTCTGTGGGTCTCTCGCCCGAGCGGCACTTGTCACCCAAGCGAGACTCAGCGAATAAACTTGCTTCTTTTGACGTTGTTAGTAGGATGTCTTCCATAGGAATAGACTTGGTTTACCTATTTAATGGTTTAGGATCTTGTAATTCCTTTATGGATGCTCTTGATTATTCTTTATTTTGTAATTTTTCATTTCCTTGTAAATATTTATTCCTCTAATAAAATTTATTTGCTGATTAAAAAAAAATGAACTAATTTGTGGCCAGAAGTGATGAACATTTGAAGTGCATGAAAACAAGACCAAATGTAAGAAAAAAACTAAAAACATGAAATATATCGTCTCCAACCATGCACATTATATAAGCCCTATAATGTCATGTCATTTTTCTGTATGTTATGCAACGCAAGTAACTCCCTCTACTCAACAAATATGAGCCACAAGTCACACATCACATTTTTATACTTCATTAGCATTTATTTCTAGAGAAAAAGATGTATATAGTGACACAGTGTAACAATTTTTTATACTGTTATTATATCATATATAATTCATTCTTAATTAGTATTGACTCTTACATAAAAGTAATAGAAATGAGTGTTGGATGATCTATTAAATCTGTATAAATCTTTACGCTTACAATGAATAAATATTACATTTTTATTTTTATCTAATTTAGTGGCTATTATTAACCCTATGGAGCCATATAACTCAATATGCGACCACACCTTATTATTTTTAATAATGTTCTTCTTCTGTAAGGGTTCAATTTAATAATGTTCTTCTTCTGTAAGGGTTCAATCTATGATTTACTTAATAAAGCAAGTCCAACCCTTTTGATTAAATCAAATTTGTATATTAATAATATCACAATAAATACTTACATGAATGCAACTTCAAAATGTACCATCAATTATCATTTCCAGAAGCCATTTTTGTAATTCATCGACACCCTACCTTTAATAAAACAAGAAGTTTAACAAAATCTCACAGACCAAAAAAGGACATAGCAAGACATAAATTACTATTAGTAGAAGACATATCTAAGAAACCAGAGAAGAAAATAATGGATAAAAATTGTATT